TCTGTAAATCCGGATACCAGGCCTGCGATGGCCAAATGGGAAATACGAATATTCCCATAGCCTTTTCAATTTTAATTTTTTGCAAACATTTTAAAATTAAGGAAAATGGAGGGAATGCATAAAAATATAGTTCCTCTATTTTCCAACTTCCATTTACTTTTGCCTTGTTACGAGTACAATAAGCGCCCCAGCCAGTTCTTGAGGCGTCCGTGAAAATTTCTAATTTAAATTCTGGTGATCTTAAAGAAGTAAATGTCGTGCTAATATTTTGGTTCCACCAATGGAGGTCATCTAAAATTTCTTTAGATAATTGAATTTTTCTATTGTAATCGTTATGCAATCTAAGAGATAAATACTTATGTCTTTCGAAAATCTTTGTGTAAAGCCATCCGTATTTTATGGCAGGGCAAGCAGCAATAACAACACCGATTAATTGAGCAAAGTCTTTGATTGAACACGACGAAAGCAAGGAGAATTTTCGAACTAATTGTGCGATACTGTTTCGTTTCTCAGAAGGTAATGATAAAGTAAGATTTACTGAATCATAAATAAATCCTAGAAATTTACAAATTTGTTTTGGTTCTAAAGAACTTTTCTTATAATTTACAACAAAGCCTAGACATTCGAAAATTTTTAAAGTTTCCTTTACATTTGCATGGCACATATTATAAGTATCGCCGAAACATAAAATGTCATCAAGGTACTGTACTGAACTATTATAACCTTGACATCTGAGATATAAAACTACTTCTTTCATCACCTTTGTAAATGTTCTGGGCGCAATCGATAAGCCATACGGCATGGCGGAAAATTCGTATGTTACTACTTCAGATAGATCATTTTTGTATTGAAAACGCAAGTATTTGCGGTCTTTTGAGGCAACAGGAATAACTAAATAAGCTTCTTTTAAATCAATCGTGGCCATGAACCCATTGAGTGGTATCAATTTTGAGGCATTTCTAAAATCTTCCATTTTAAAATGAATGTTTTGTATGAATTTGTTAAGCGATTTAAGATTAAGAATAAATCGGTAATCCCCGTTTGATTTCGGGGTAAGGAAGATACTTGATAGAAATTGGTCACTTTTGGATAAACAAGGTTTGATTGCCCCCAATTTCAAAAGATCATTTATAGCTATAGACATGTTCTCTTTCTCAACTATCGATGGTTCCATCAAGGGTAAATAACTTTGTGTAGGCTTTGCAATAAACGGTATTGGAAATCCATATTGAATCCAATCTAAAATAGTTTTGTTACGAGTGATTTTAAGCCAACAACTATAAAAGTGATGTAATCGTTCAGCATGAACTTGTACCTCGCTTACTGTTGAGCAGCACGTGGCTTGCTTGGGTGCGCTGACCTGTTTTGAGGTGGTACTGGAGGACGGACCCCCCCCGTCCCCCCCTGTTCGACGGGTAGGGATAGCGCGAGGGGCCAGCCCAGTTTTCCTGATAGCGGGGCCGAGTTACCGTCGACTGAATTGGTTGTATTATCTTTGAAGCCATCACGGTTTTTTTTATCTGCAACCCTTGTCTTTCAATGACTTTTGAGGCCTTTATTTTCTCAGAGAGCTTTGACCCGAACAAGGTATCGTCTCTCTCAGTATCTTTTATAATATTTAGAAAGGACTTATCTAATACAGGCGTAAGAAGTCTTGAACGAGCTTGCGAGTTCATGTAATGGAGGTCCGTCAAAATACGGCAACCATCGCTAAGTAATTTAATAGTTTGTATTTTGTCATCTCCTGTAAGTAGAAGAGACAAGCCCTTATTGATGGCTGTGATACCACAGCCAAGCTGCTGTTGGCTGCTTTCCATCTTCTTATCTCGGTTCCGAGCCATATCAGTAATTGCTGCAGATATCTCAGCATTTAATTTAGATGCGTGTAGCAAAGGGAAATTTTCGGGAATAAGGTAAGATTTGAATAATGTATCTTTCACTTCCTTTGTGATGCCCTTTTTTAATATGGAACCCCATCTCTGTGCCAAATTCCCATGTATTGTAGGGCCAAATAATGGTATATCATTATTAGGTTAGCCTAGTGCTGACAATATTTCGGGGTCTAGTTCTGGGGTTTGAGATTCGGTGACCATTTCCATGGTTTGAGATTCAGAGACCATTTCTGCGGCCAGCGATGGCTCTGCTAAACTTTCAGTGTTTGCACACGTTTTTTCACATACTGTGGTGTCGAACCCTTCATCATCGTCTCGGTCTATGAACAACAGAGAAAAAAAAATATTTTGATTTAGGAGGTAGTTGTGATTAAATTTATTAAAAATTAATTTTTAACTATTATTTTTATTATCTTCTAACCCCAGTTTTATTACATATATATACGAGTATAACCTATACCAAAAGTATATATTATTGGTATAAGTATTATTTTACCATCATGATAACTATCGGTTATCCCCCAGGTTAATGTATATTATGCAGAATAAAGATAACGTTCCCGTTTCGAGAATATTAATTTTTCTGCTATATACCGTCGTGCTGACTCACGGCCAACCCCCAGGTTAATGTACGATTTACGGAATCCCATACTAGAGATTTTATATTTCCGCTATATACCATCGTGTTGACTCACGGTCAACCCCCAGGATACTTCATGAATTCATAATAACGTTAACACTTTTAAAACTGATATTTGTATCATAAAATGGAGGTACTCACGAGCATTATGATTATCTACGTTGGATTCCGATGAATAGATCACGAGCCTAGCTCGACTCCGACTCTGTTATTCTTCGAGTTCACGAAGTTTCTTTCGATATCGCATCATTTTTTCCTCGGCATTTCGTTTCGGCATTATTATTAACAGTGGTAAAATTTATCAATATTAAGCGGAGAGCGCGTGCACTCGTTGCCTCGCACAGAAAAAGAATGACACATCAAATAGCGGGAGCTAGTAGGTAGACAAAAAAAAAAACCTCTAAAGCGTGCGAGGGTTGCCTGGTAAGAAAAGGGACTACGTTGTAAATATTATATCTGAAGAATGAAGCGACGAAATATAACATAATCCTATAATCTTTTTAAATAATAATAGATAGATTTATTACAACGACAAATCAAACAATGATTGCTATGTTAACATTTTAATTCCGCATTAAAACTTTCACTTCCATTTTTATCCTTTTAAATGCTAGTTTTCGGGATATAATATTAGCTATTACCTTTCTAGGGTTAGGCATGTGCGCCGATGCCGAAATCTTTGGCGGCGGCGTGGAGGCAAAAATTCAGCAGCGTCGGCTTAAATGGCGGCGCAAACGGCGTCGTTATAATAGAATAATAATAGAATCATTTATTTGTGTTTGAACAGGGTAGAATGTACTAGATGACAAATAGTTGGAAAACTCTAATAATATCAACTATTCAGGTATACAAATACAAGCATACAGCATACAAATATGGCACAATAATACTCTTCTAAATTATGTAACGTAGTCACAACGAAATTAAATAATAATGTAATCAATAATGCATGCATTCAAAGACATTTATATCTTCTCATTCATTCGTACCTTAAACAGCAATTTTACTTTTCGTCGCATTTTATATGAAAAAAAAATAAAAAGTTTATTTAACTAAAGTACCTATTTAGGTATCATTTTGATCGATAACTTTTTGCCATCGTGTAGGTAGGGACAGGATCCCATTGCTATAGAGATTTTGGGGCTTCTTATCAAAAAACCTCGACAAGTGGTTTTGGCAGTCCTCGCGGGATAAACTGCATAAAGAAATTTGAAGAGACCGAAACAGGTGGAAATCTGAAGGTGCAAGGTCAGGACTATACGGCGGATGCATTAACTATATTTTTTCTGAGTGGCAAAGATGTGTGAGGTCTATAGCGTTATCATGATGAAAAACCACCCCTATTTTCTATTTATTAATTATAGTCTTCTTTCAACTTCTTGCTTTAATCTCAATAGTTGTTCGCAATACTCGACTACGAGAGTTCAGAATCGATGGTCCTGCCTGGCAGTAATAGCTCATAATGAATGATGCCCTTCCAGTCCCACTATACACACAGCACACACAGCACCTTGTTACGAATTAACCCGCCGTTTACGCTGATCTTTCTAACCGGTCAGCGGCGGCCTATTATGATCGACGGCGTCGGGCATCGGCGCGGCGCGGCGCACATGGCTATCTAGGATTTTAAATTACCCAAATAACAATTTTCATTGATTTAGGTACGGCGCGGCGCACACGTCTATCTAAGGTTTTAAATTACCCATTAATACCCAATAATATATCAATACCAAAAACGATGAAGTTTCACACAATTGTTTTCACCCTTTTTGAGCCTTTTCAGGGTGAATTTCCCATAAATCCGTTCATAGTACACCTCTAAGTAGTAAGGCGAATGTACCCTCCAAATTTCAAGTTTTTACGACCAACGGTTTAGGCTGTTGGTTGTCTGTAAGTCAGTATGTCAAGACATCTCCATTTATATAATGTATAAATAAGGAGTCTCTTTTTTAATTTTTAAACCTAAAGCACCAAATTATTTAAAATCTGTGCTTTATGAACCTAGCCATAACTAGTAGGTAGACTAGTGTACCAAAATCAATGGAGTACTTTAAGCTGTGCGTTAATGGATCAGTCAGTCACCTTACGTATGGCTTTTCTACATTTAATATTATAAAGAGGTAAGATTAGAATGTTTGTTTGTTTGCAACGAATAGGCTCCAAAACTAGTGGACCAATTTAAAAAAATCTTTCACCTACGCGAAACTACATAATAAATAAAATCATGAAGAGACGATTTCATTGTTACCAGTAAAATACATAATTTTTTACCCGTAAAATAAATTAAGTAATGCTTATTTATAGGTTAGCGTGTCGTACAACTACACACAAAATTTGTAGCAAGCTCTTATCTTACTTTTATCACACAAGCTACCACGCTTCCTAGTTACGTTATTATATCCCGATATTGTCCCGATTACGGTGATAAAGGTGACATTATTCTTTTTATTGTATTGTCTACAACAATACTTCTGCCCATCTGTCATTGACCTTTATGTAGTAGCGAGAAAAGAAATAAATCGCTCACATCCTGTGAGTATATTTGAAGAGGCCACTATTCGTCTTTATACACTTGAAGTCTTGTCCTTCTTTATGTAAGCTATAACGTAAATCAAATAACCAACTTAAAGGAATCACCTGTACTTGCGTCAAATAAAAAAGTGTGCCAACTGGCGCATGTGCTGTTCTCGGATGGGTTAGGTAAAGGAGAAAAAAACATTTGCTCAAACTTGGCACTGAATTCACATTTTAGAAGCGAATGTTAAATTTAGATCTTAAATGTTTGACGGTTAGGTCGCTTAACGACCACTGTGTGGTTGCACCGATGTCGTTTTGGGACCGACTGGTCTGTGACGGTAGACGGCCGCCCGCCGCAACGCGCTCGTTAACTTTGCTTGCTTGTAGTCAACTGTAGTAAAGTAGTCGCTCGCTCAGCGTGCGCACACTTCATGCTAGCGTTTAATAGAAAACAAAATTCGATCGCGGCAAATGTATAAAATAATAAAAAAAACCGATAAAATATAGTTAACTAATTAGCGAAGATTTATCGTAATAGTCATTCCATTGTGTCTTAATATAAATACCTTAATTTAAAGTGATTTTTAAACTGAATATTTTAACCTACAATATTGTGTGAGAAAAACTTGCGGCTGTATTTACGAAGTGCGTTATCAGTTCATACTATATGGTGATATTATTAATAGCAGTACCTTTATAGACTTTATCGGTCCCTTATTTTCATGGTATACCGCAAAACACGTGGTATTTCCCGCCATGGTTCGAGTATGATGCAATATTTGTGTGAAGATACTCAGAGCGAGCATAAAATTATGATAATTTGAACATGTTTTCATATTAGCTTATGATTACGTTTATTTGAAAGAATATACATTAAAATATAGAAATGGCGAAAGTGTCAGCTACAGATGGTTTAGCGCCTAGGGCGATGGATGTTGGTTCAGATGGTGACAACGACGGTGACTCAGGAAGCGGAGTCCGGTTAAAGAAGGAGTTGAGTTTAATGAATGGCGTAGCTATTATCGTAGGTGTGATAGTAGGTTCCGGGATCTTCGTATCCCCCAGTCTAGCGCTGAAGTTTGCCGGCTCGAAGGGCATGGCCCTCATAGTGTGGGTGCTCTCTGGATTCCTGTCGATGATCGGAGCGTTATGCTATGCTGAACTGGGTAAGATAGCTAATGTAAAAAAAAGTACAACAACTATATCATAATATAAATAATAATGTTAAATATAAGCGTTATTTAAATTATCTAAAGAGAACATATTTGAATTGAACAGAACATATATCCTTAATGTTTGTTAATATAAAACTTTAACATTTACTTAGGTACACACGACTGTACGTCAGATTACCACAATATGTCAAATAACTGCTATGGATTTTGACCATTACTTGCATGTATTAAGGTTTAAAATCAAGTTGATTTTGACAGTTTTGTATAACCTGGCATACTGTTGACTGTACATTTATATTCCACAATTAATAATGTTAATATGTTTATGTTAAAGGTAAACATCCAATAGATGTTTAAATTTTTATGATTACATATTACAAACCTGGTAGCAATTCTGTTGCATAAACTAGGCTACGGCTTAGGCCTGCAAACTTTTTTTCAGTAGGGGTGTAGGCAACTTTTATTTTTTTATTTTATAGATATATTTGAAATATATAAAAAAAATATCATTCATACGATAAGTTAAAACCTAAAAATAAATTTACTTTTCAAATTTTGCCGCGAAAATGCCACTTTTGTCATGGCATCGCTATGACGTCACTGCACTCTGAAACGAATAAATCAAAAAATCAAAATCAAAATTATTTATTTAGTCTAGGCTGTTACAAGCACTTGTGAAAGTCGTGAGCTACGCCATCGGTTCATAAATCTACGGCGGGAGACCTTGTACCGAGAAGAACCGGCAAGAAACTCGGCAAGGGCTGCTTTTTTCTCCCTGTTTTATTTCATACAGAGCGTCAAGATTGAAAACATTACAATATCGGTCTATGTATGCATAAGGTAGAATTCTCTAAGTTCTGATATGAGTAAGAAGGGTGTGACGTCACGCGCTGTTTGCGGTCACGTGACAACGAGCATAAAATGTTTGTTTTTTTTACAATTAGTTTATGCATTATTATAAATACAATAAGCATAAAAATGTGATTATCGGTAACAGTATATTACCAGACAAAAAATAATATATATACAACACAACCAGAAAAAAAATGATATAGGTATATTTGTTTTCGTTTACTGTCTACACCCATATTGTAACAATAACTTAGATAAAATAATTAAACTTATATTATTATAATTTACAGGCAAACTATTATATTTCTTTGATTACACCCACTTTATTATGTACCTAACGACAAAATAAACTGAAACTAGGTTTAAAAAAAAATATTTAGAGGAAAGTACAATAGAATTGGCAACATTGTTTTTTGAAAAACAGACCATATTACCATACACAGTAATATTGTATGTTTTTTAAAAAAAAATTCATAATACGAACAAGTTCAAAAGTATTCAAATAAATTTCATTTTATCAATACAACAGAATAACGGCCGGTTTCCGTATTGAGAAAAGAATATACCTAATCTCAACTGATTATTCTCATTAAAATAAGTTTTTTACGTTTCACATGGCACAAATTCCTAGTTTTATCAAAATGCTGTTAAGTGATTATTATGAAAATTAAAAAGAAAAACGATAACCTGTTTAGGATGGTTTAATTACGTTCAAAATATTGAGTGCATACATTAAGGCGATGCCAGACTCCTACTTCGCCCCTTACGAATCGACCGCGAAGTGTTGTTGCCTATTCAACAAATATGAAGCTCCAGTTAGATAGATACCTAGACAGTCCTACCCTTCGCGTAGGTTCGATTCCTTTGGCAATTACTTAAATTGTGCTAAACTACTACATTTTTTTTTTAAATACAACTGTCTTCAAACTTTAAAAAGTGAGAGACAATAGTCGTCTTAAAAGCGACTTTTCTATTGAAGTCGCACGGAGGCGTTCCGTGGGTTATTATTTGAATGATAACCGACCGTCTATAATAACAAGAAAAATATATTTAATGAAAAATGCTTCAAAAATCCATTTTTGTCCCTGGCACTATGAGACGGGACTCGAACACCTTTCGCAATCCGGACGACTAGAAATAATATGTCAAAATATCTAATAAAATTGGTTTACAAATCACGAAGAAATCGGTGAACACTAAAAACATACTTAACATACGTTGAGATAAAATCAACAAAGCAACATAATAAAACAATGAACTTCTATTTAGTACCTGGCCAGTTGGTATTCAAAATGAAATAAAAGAAAATACCTACTGATCGAATAATCTCTTCTCACATTCGCAGAAATCGATAAACAGAATTATTGCACCATGCATATTGATTTATAATTCATACAACTTGGATTTTAACAGATTTCAAGATTGAAAAACGAGGAGGTTATATAATTGATGGCGATGTATGTTTTTATATGCATGTATACCGATTTTTTCGCGAATTGTCGACCCAATTTCAAAATTCTTTTTTATTACAAAACAAAACATGCTTTTCAACAAATATCACCTAATTACTTAAAGCACTATCTATAAATGAAACAACTTTTAAACGGTTTCATCGCGTTTCTATTTTTCTTTTATTGACGTATCGGACCCTTCTTTCGTCTTTTTAATTAAAAGTATAACTTCAAAACAATACTTCTGGACACATTCACAATACTAATATTTTATAGAAACGTTTATATTTATTAAAATTGAAAAATACACTTGGCTAATACGGCTACCGAAAACTACCACTAGTTCCAAATTTGGAAGTGTTTTCTGAGAAGAACTGGCGAAACAGACTCCGACAAGAAAAGTGAATTTGATTTCATATTTACAAAATAAACTAACTGTATCTTGTTGCTATTGTTAACAACAAAAAAAAAACGCGATGAAACCATTTAAAAGTTGTTTCATTTATAGATAGTGCGCGTGAAAATATAAGAAATCAATATTAAGACTTCTATATTAGCTAAAAAAACAAAAGATTGCAAATGTTCAAAATCCGAAAAGAGGATTTTCTATGTTCAATAGGAATGTATATTTTATGTAAGTGTTCATCGATTTCTACTTATGTTTATTAAAAAACTTCCAAAGTGCAAAAACATTTTTTTTATAGCTGCAATCGAAATCAATGGTTTCATGAAAAGTAATTGTGCAGGGCGCAACTGCAAACTACAACGGAAACTCAAACAACTATAAAGGATAGTATCAAATTATCAGTAGAAAAACTTAAAAATTTGTAATTATCCAGAAAATATCAGAACACTGAAGATTAAAAAAAATACGATTTTTTGATAGTAAAATAAATCGATCCACGTGGGTGGCTAAAATTAATTGTTGCTATGCCGTTATAAATATGGAAATGTCGATAAATGAGCTGCGGCGTATTAATATAATACAAGAATTTGAGATGAAGATCATCGGCCAACCTACACAATTTACATGTAATATAATATGTGTAAATATTTTCAATGTTTTACCAGTAGGCGCACATTATATAATCATTTGTCCATCGTATACTTTTAAGAATATCAAGATCACTGACTTTCGTTTTCGAAGAAATAGAAGATGCCCTCGGGTGTCATGTTAATTCGTACGAGTAATATGTAATAAATTAAGTAGCTAAAGCACATGAACTCTCTTACCCAAAATATAGAAGAGTGAATTATCTACAATGACCCGACCGGTTAACGACCTGAGATCATTTTAACAAATAAACAGAATTTTAAATGGAATGATTGAAGTTAGAACTATTAAAAGCTAGAATTCTTTTATTTTATTATTAGTTATTGAAATTATTATTCGTTAAAATATAAGCTCAAGTTATTAGTTTTACTCATGTAATTACTTCTACTCATCTTACATAAATACGCCTAAAAATAAATAAGCCTAAATAACAGTTTATTTAGGCTTTAACAACTAGCCAAGTGTGAGTCGGACTCCGGCACGAAGGATTCCGTACCGAAAACAAGCAAAAAAATCATGTTTGTGTATAGGAACTTAAACTTGCCCACTTAAATATTTATTTTACTCTATTTTTAGGAAGTATTTGTTGTTATAGTGGCAACATAAATAGATCACCTGTGAAAATCTGTTTAACTATCACTGTTCAATAATACAGCTTGGTGACAGGCAGACAAACAGACAGCGAAGTCTCAGAACAAATACGTCGATACATTGATTTGAAATGTCGCATGACGTCACAATTTGTCACATTATCTACATAGCTGTGACGTAGCAAGCCCCCACTCTCCCTATTATCTATGACATTTCTTGCTAAATTGAAGCAAAACAATATACGTTTCCAATATTCTTCTATTATCTAACTAACGGACTAAATAAAATATGTTTTTTCCCCAGACATCACCCCTATTGTAGCTTACAAGTTGAATGTTTTATACATACATTTCTAATTTAATAAAATTACAATGTTACCCTAAAATATATGGGTACTATTTAATCGATTTGTTCTCGTTATATACACTTTTTTTTTACAATATTGTAGCTTACAAGTTGGATAATTTACATATAAATTTCTAAATATGATAAAATTACAAAGATACCCTAGAAAATTGCCTATTTTATCGATTTCTTTTCGTTATTATACACTTTTTTACAACAAAAATTACGTTAGGTTTCATTAACGTCAAGTTTTAGCCGAAGTCTATATGCAATACTTACAATACTGATACTTACTTAGGTAAGTATCAAGAATTTATTACTTTAGGTCTACAGGCTACCGGATCGACAGTCATTTGCACAAACATCCAATACGTTTTAATGACTCCTTTAAACTCTAATGAATATCAAATTTGTATGGGTAATATCGCTTTAAAAAAATAACAACATTTAATGGACGTTTGTACAATGGTATTGAGTGACCCTTTAAAAACAAACGATACCTAAGACTATTTTTGCAAAAACAAACTTCCATTAATCCACCGTAAGTGTTTTTTATTATTTCTAAATTGAGTTACATTACTGCATTAATTAGTTATCTTGAACTGTATCAGACAGAAAATTTATAATAATTATATCTGTCTATTAATGTGATTAAAATATGAGTAATGGAAATTTAATGATATGTAGAACAGTTATCACCTTCTATTATATTAAATTAAATTTTAATGTCTGGCATAAATTTGTTCATACGCCGTATCCTATCGTTGGGTAGGAATCCACTCGCTTTAAAATCATTTGGCTATGTTTTCTCGAATCATCTCGAATCCAAAAATAATTCCGAAGACTCGAGCTAAATGTTTAATGCATTCTTTAATTTGAGTACCAGTTAATTGTATTTTTTCCATTATATGACGTGCGGAAACGCTACACACACATGATATAACTATAAGCATCCGTTGATCGCAATATTCAAATATACACAGATATTACGATAATAATAAACACGAAAAAAAATTGAAAAATTTTGAGAAACTTCTATATATCTAGACGTAGTTAATTACAAGGAAAATTATGTTTCATTATGGTAGTTAGCCAATCTTAGAAAGTGACATGATATTGTGAAAAAATATAAATAGGAAACGCACAGTTAGAATATCCTGTAATGTGTCCCAATTATGAGCAAGGCTTATGTTAAAGTAGTGTTCCCTAAAAAAAATGAAATTCGTTACTTTAGAAGTAATAAGTTTTTATTTTGTAATTTTTAGCAATTGGTCATCCGTGTACATAAATAAATAAATTAATAAATAACATCTTTTCATACACAAGACACAAGAATATACACAAGAATGTAATCGAGTAGAAGCAATTACTTGAGTGCAAACAATAACTTAAGCAAATATTTTTAACAAATAACGAGAATTTGGATAAAGTATAAGCTCTTAAAAGTTAGAATATTATTATTAGCTATTAACAGTTCTTGCTTTATTCAAATTCTCATCTATTGGTTAAAAATATCTGCTTAAGTTGTTACTTATACTCGGCTAATTACTTCTACTCGATATGAGTGTTATGGTAATTTAACATTACATTTAGATAAGTGTGACATTTGAACTCTGGCATAAACTCGTAAGGAATTTATTACAAACAAATTAGTTGAAACCAGTACACATCGTGTTATCTAAAGAAACACAATAATAAATGTTTAAATATACATTAAGTTCGATACACTAATATTGAGATAATTAATGTTTACTTACCAGTTAAAAAAGTGTGAACAAATGAGTTATTAATATTATATCTATAATTAAAATTTAATGAAGCATTTTAATTTCTTATGTACATTTTTTTTACCCCAATGATGTATTCGACTTTCTATATGAAATAATTTTTAATCTTTCCAGGTACAATGATACCCAAGTCCGGCGGTGACTACGCGTACATAGGCGAGGCGTTTGGCTCCCTGCTCTCGTTCCTGTACCTCTGGGTGGCGCTATTCGTGTTAGTGCCCACTGGAAACGCCATCACAGCGCTCACCTTCGCACAGAACATCTTACAACCTCTTTGGCCAGACTGCACGCCGCCCCGTGTCGCCAACACCCTCATAGCCGCTATAATAACCTGTTAGTATTACTTAAATATTGATATCGTAACCTAATAAAATGTTAATGCTCTTAAGTAATGATTTATTATGTTCCGACAACACTGGCAATATCAATGAGCGTTATCTCAGTGACGTATAAACACATGTCCAAAATTATCTTTTTGTTCATTAATTTGCATACAAGCTTAAGAAAAAGAGTTATTCTTCAACATAGAGGCTGAATGCTATGGCTGATGAATCTCAATTAATATGGTGTAGGTCCTCTTCGAGGTGTAAATGTGATGTTAGAGAAATATAAAAAAAAAGTGTAAATCCTTGCCTAGAAATATTAGATATTTTAGTTATAGTAACTAATCTTGCTGAGGAATATCACAGAGAGAACGGATCATATCATAATACACGGTAACAATAAAGATGCATGCAGTGTAATATAGATGAATTGATAGTCTCTAGACGTACCGGCTACAAATGCTGCATACATCCCTTCCGAAGCGCGAAGGAACGAAATAATACATTATATACGTATTATTTCGTTCCTGCGTGCTTCAGAACATATGTCTAATTACCGTAATGATGGTTTTTACAAAATATGTTTTAACGTCTCCAAGCTAAAAAAAAATGAATTGTTTTCAAACGAATAGAAGGCGTAGAAGGCAATCATGTGTCAGACTAACTACTTAGTTATATTATATTTCTTAGCTCTATTTATTAGACGTTTTCTATCGGCGGCAGACTTTTTGCCGTATAGCATAAAAATCTATAATATCATAAATGAGAAGTCTAAACAGAAACAATCATGTTAAATTTTAACGCTTCACGAAAGATAAGTAAGTAGTTATACACGTATAAATAAATATTAGCTAACATGCATATATCGCTTAGACACCAAGACGAGTAGCTAAAACTCTCATATTATAGAATATATGAAACAACGAATGTCCATCGTATCGGAATGTTAAAAAATGTAAAAGCAGCCGGCTCGGTAACTTGATTGCGTGTACAGACTGCAGTAAATAAACGTTCTCTGACGTATAATAACTTAAGTATATTCCAAAAACTCAATACAAGTTTTGCACAGATGAATTGTACAATCTTGAATTTTATTATAAACGAGTTAAGGACATTATTTGAAATGCTCATTACTTTCTGGGAAGGGCGCATAGCAATTTTTTACCCCCTGTAGAGTGGAGTGTTAACCGGTTTACATTTCGGCAAATTCCCTTTTTTTTTCTCTTCACATTCACACAGCATTCTCAGAAAGCTGGTACTTGAAAATTTATAACTTGTTTTTAAAGAATGAGCTTTTTTAATCGCTTTTTAATTGAATTTTGTGAAACAAACCAAGTTACAGAACTTCGACTTGGTGAAACTGGTTCCAATATAACAAGTCAATGAAGCTAAAAGTTTTGTATTTACAATTCCTAGATTTCTCGTCGGTCTTTTACATAGATCCTCTTGACGCAGTTCAAGAAAATATGTTAATCTAACTTTTACCCTTTTTTTACCCGACTACAGCGGCGAAGCGAAATGGAGGATTATGATTTTGGCCCCTATGTATGTATTTAAGAATGTTCCTCTGTTCCTTATAACTTCAAAGCTACTTATCGTAACTGGACAAATGAGATATAATTAGAAGTGTACCTCATTAGTTGGGCCAGTTCAATAGAGCAGCATACGCCCTCTAGATGTAGCATAATGTAAGAAACTAAAAAAAATTTTTTTTTCGATCATTTCGTGTAGGGTATTAAATGAAATTGCTTAATTAGCACATTTCAAATATATTGAATATACAATATATTGAAAGCTTTATTCAAATACACATGAAAATTAATTAAATAAAAAGTAAGTTCAAATACTAAAACCGTAAATCACGCTCTAAAAACTTTAAAACAAGAACTTTATTTTAATAACGATAGCTATATTATATTAGCGATCACCAAAGGACAGCGTAGTCGTATGCCACTACATTATGCTATGTTTATAATTATTAAGCTAACAGAAAAATCAAAATAAATATCTTAAAATGTATTTGATTATATGAATGCGCATTTAAGTAACTTCGTATTCGCTAACATATACGTAGTTGCAAATTACATTATAGTCTTCCAAAAGAGATTGAAGAAGAAGCTCTTTAGAGATAAGGCCTTCGATTGTCTCATCAAATCCTGCCATTATGTCATGTTAATTAATGATTATGGTGTAAAATAAATAATTATTCATTCATTCAATGTTATACCGAAATCTTTTTTATGTGTCCGTCCATTTGTAATACACGTTCTGTTTTTTTATTTATTAATTTTCAATTATAATTTAACAAAAACATTTATAATTGAATTAAACACTCTTAAGAATTTAACGAGCAAAGCCAAATTGTTAAGTTATTGATCAAAATCATCTCACAATTGTCAAAGAAACCAATAGCTCAGGCATAAGTAACTATCTTCACGAGGTGACAAGACTTGAGGTTTTGAGCGTAAATGTCTTCAATAATAAATTAATTGAGAAACTCTTAATTTCTCCATTGGAATGGTGTTTCACGTTGTTATTTATATATTTTTATCATACAAATGTATCAAATTGAATATTTAATTACCTACTATTAAAAATATGTATACTTACGAGAAATAGATATCTTTGTAAGAAAAACTTGGAAATGTGAAGAACGCCATTTTTTATTAGAAAGCTATTAAAATAAACTCTTTACCGAATTCAGTCCTGTTTTCTACGTGCAAATGTCTGGTTACGAGATAGAGTATTGTGGCGCGGCCGAGTGTGCTGATTGCTCCTGACAGGATAATGTGGGCTTCCTCCCGCATCGCTCTGACACATACTCTTGTGTAGAATTACCTTAGCTATCACACCGTGTAAGGGCACTTAATGATTCGACGTTTCTATGACATCCACTTTCAGCTGAGATCTAGATTCTGTAGTTATATTTTTAGATTTAAGACGCTAAATTAATTCGGTGTAATTTCTGAACTATTTCTCATAAAATTAAAAAACATGTTACTTGGGACTTCTTCCTTTTAAAGAACTATATTCTAAACAATCTGTAGTTATTGGTTAACCTTGTATATATTATTATATTTCATTAATTTTGCATTCATTCAGAGTCCCTGGTACTCTGAAATGGTATTCGAACTCACGACTTTTCGCAATTTCGCAGAGTACCAGGGACAATGTGGATTTTTTAAGCATTTTTCATTAAGAATATAACGTAGTACATTTTTAATTTCAGGCTTTTTAACCGTCATAAACTGCTACAACGTCAAATGGGTGACGAGGGTTCAAGATACCTTTACTGCGGCAAAGATACTCGCTTTTGTCATAACTTTCATCGCGAGCTTGTGGTACTTTTTTTCGGGACACACGGAGAACCTGCAATCAATGATGCAGGGTACCAACACCGCGCCAGGAGATCTAGCTATCGCTTTCTGCACTGGTCTCTTCTCTTACTCGGGTTGGAATTATCTCAATTTCGTGACGGAAGAACTCAAAGAACCTTATAAGTAAGTGTTTTTATTATTAATCAAAGAGCTTTCATTCATCAGCCTTATAATGCCCTACTATCTACAACAGTCTAACCAATTCCTAAAATAACTTTATTTATCTATCAATTAAACTATCGCGCGACGAATTCGCAATATTTGCTTCTACGATCTAGTTCACCCCCTTGTATATTACTCGAAGTTTGTTCAAATACTAACTACATATGTAAACACAAACACTAGTATCTATAGCTGACAGAAGTAATTACTTGAGAAATTGTCATAGCTAAAAGCTTTTAACCAATAGACGAGAAATTGATGAAAACAAACGCCAATAGTAATTTTACTATTAATAATTTTCACTTCATTCCAATTCTCTTTGTTTGTTAAAAGTATCTGCTTTAATTATGATATATTCTCAAATGTAAGTCACAAAAGATGCCTCTGTACCATCGTGAATACGTGTAAGGTAAACGATGAGATAAAATGAGTTCGGTATTTTTTAACACATTAACAAAGAACCGAAGAAAAAATATCCTATCACAAAAGTACAAAAAATAAAAATCTCGCACTATTATTTTTCCAACAGTATAACAGTTAATATTTGTAGTTGTTTGAGATCTCTAAAATCGTTAATCCAATCAGTGCCTATATATATAGAAGTATCTAATCCACAATTTAATGACAATTCTAAATTTCTTTTAAAAATAGTACGACTTGGCAATCGTACGGTACAATTGCTACAATAAAATCTGCATACAACAAATCTACCTAATATTAGCTTTGATTCTTTATTTATGTTTTGGCCTGCTATCGCTATAATTTACTTGTGAGTGTAAAAATAGTACATAATTCTTAAGTAATGTCACCGTACAATGACCAGACCATTTTATTTTCTAAAGAAACAAAGAGATTGACAGAGTTGATCGCAAAACGTTCTCTTGCTGTAAAGAATTCAATTGCCTTTAATCGTTGTTATGTTTTAATTAAATATCACGACTAGCTTTTGCCCGCGACTTCGTCCGCGTGGTAAAGTCACTTTGAGCAGCATTTCTAACGAATATTTATTCATTATATCATATAAAATACCTGAAATAAAGTTTCATTCCCTATTTTATCCCGTTCAGGGTAGAATTGATCAAAATCCTTTCTTAGAGGATGCTAAAGTCATAGTAGCTTTATGCATGCAAAGTCTAAAATTGACAAAGTTTCATGCAAACTTTCATCCCCTATTTTATCCCCTTGGAGGTAGAAATGATCAAAGTCCTTTCTTAGCGGATGCCTACGTCATAACATCTACCTGCATGCCAAATTTCAGACCGATCCATTCAGTAGTTTGGGCTGTGCGTTGATGTGCTATGTCAGTCAGTCACCTTTGAGTTATATATATTTAGATATCACGATTAAGATAAACACGTTTTTAACTCGCCAAAAAGGTCATTTTTTCAATTAAAAATGTTTAAAATTTCTTGTTTTTAACAAAAAATGCTATTAGAAAAAAAAAACCAACAAATTTGCACAGTAATGACTACGAAACTCTGTGTGTTACATTTATTGAAAACTCTTTAACTAATCTTTCTTCTTTTTTTTCTTTTCCAGAAACCTACCACGGGCGATCTGTATTTCGATGCCAGTGGTGACTTTAGTTTATGCTCTGACAAATGTAGCCTACTTCGCTGTGCTCACCAATGACGAAATCCACTCATCGGAAGCCGTGGCGGTGACGTTCAGTGAGAAAATATTGGGAGTAGTGTCATGGATCATGCCTCTCTTCGTAGCGATGTGTACGTTTGGCTCGCTGAATGGTGCCATCTATGCATCATCACGACTGTTCTTCGTCGGAGCCAGGAACGGGCACTTACCACTTGCGATATCATTGATTGATATCAGGCGATTGACTCCGGTACCTTCCCTAGTGTTTATGGTGAGTTAATTTCTTCATTTGTTTTTTAAGTAGGTTATACGCCAGCTACAAACTATTTTCACCACAACAAAGCTGATGGTAAACCTATTAATCTGTAGATTAAATGATTTTAGATGTGTATTATAAATTATAATAGACACATTTTCAAACATAAGAATGAACATAACATTATGAAAAATGATTGTTTATATATACGAGATTGCTACCATGTATTTATATTTAATTGTTGCAGTCATAACATACGGGTTTATTAAAAACTGTTTATCATTTAAAAACTGTTACTGTAATTTCTTTTTTGATGTTTTATAGAAATTATATCATAAAGTTTAAACTTTTCAAAATGTATTTTCGTAATCGTTAACAAATAAAATAAATCACAATATATTTATATTCAACTATTGAAGTCATAAAAATTACAGGTTTATTAATTATATCGTTCAAAAATTGCTTTACACGCGATTAAAATTAAATAAAATATGTCATATTGTCATTAATTGATAGCTACTTAATAACATGTAACACCTACAAGTATCATGAGTGATAAGAAAGTTCTTCTCAAGTTCGTAAAGAATAGTTTTAGCAACTTAAGAAAATCTATTTTAAGGAAGTCAATTTTTGGTTTTTCAAATCAGCTGAACGACAAACACTTTATCATTTACAATCATATAAACTAGATAAGTACGAGTAACTCTTTATGTTTTCTCACATTACCATGACGAAAGGGTTATTAAGATCATAAGACTGACAGTCTCACACGAGTGAAACTAAATGAACATAAAGAATTAACGTTTATCAAGACTTACCTTAGATACTAACTTTATACATCATCACTGTTAATGCTCAGGCGTTCACCACAGATGGAATCGAAAAGAGAAAATATGCCATGACTCACTACGGGAGCCAAGTGGCCATTGGTGGGCTTTAACGACCGCAGTTGCAGCCTAGACAACGGCTTAGCATGCCTTCCAAAGCACGGAAGAACTCAAGAAAATACATTTTTTTTGGTCACCCATCCTATGAATAGTTGCTCAAATGCCATATCGCAGATCGAGTGCGCTAACCACTGTGCCATCGAGCTTCTCAAGATCTATACCATCTTAATTTAGTTAAAAAATAAACTGCATCTTTAGGCTACCCAGCAATATTAGGTATGTTTAGATGTCTTATTGGATATAATTTTCTATTTATGTCTTGAAAAAGCCCTAACCGCGCCACAAAAAGGATTCAGACAACCGGAGCAGATTAACATAAAGCATGCATCATACTTATTGTAATATACAAGTACTAGTGGACGCCCGCGACTTCGTCCGCGTGGAAGTCGGTATCCCGTGGGAGTGAGAAGTTTTCCCAGTAAAAAGTACCCTATGTGTTATTCTGATGTATAACCTATATTGCTGTAAAGTTTTATCCAAATCCGTCCAGTAGTTTTTTCGTGAAAGAGTAACAAACATCCATACATCCATACTTACAAACTTTCGCCTTTATAATATTAATAGGATTGTAACGTCCGTGCACATTACTATAGGTAGTTTTACTCTCCGGATGATTTATGGTCAATACTGGCCACAAATATTTTGAATTATTCTTTTCTCTGTGTTCAAATTCGCGCGTTCGTGTTTTGCTAGTTAATAATCTAGTATATAAGTCGCCATATAAATAAAAGTATGCCCTATGAATCATCAGAATACTCATCTGAATAAAAAAAAATCGATCGTAAGTAATGCCTGAAAACACCAGATGATGAATCGACTATCGAACAAAGACTTACATAGATTGTTATGTATAAAGACTTAGGTAATAATAAAATGATTATAGTACTATGCGGTGATTATGGAAGCACGGCGTTAAATAACTGCGCAATTTTTTTATCATCACGCAATTCTCCAAATTTTTCCCTGGCGCCCAACGTGGGATTGTGGTGATATCTGTCTATAGATACCTGAGAACAATATTCATATGAAATGCAGAATGTAATCGGTGATGTCGCTGATATATAACACTACATATAGTTTATGGATACCGACGTCAAGAATTAAAAAAATATATATAAAGAATGTATCATTTTAATTCTCGATGGTTAACATGTGTGTAGTAAACAGCACGTCAGCTTATACAAATTTATCTAATTTCTTTACTTAATTTTAAACCCTAATACTTTGAAGGTAGGGTTTAAAGTCAACTAGAATTTAATATGTTATAGTAACAATTATGTATACAACAGCGTCGGCAGTTTTTGTCAATAGGTGCTGGCTGATCAAATAGGATTAAATAGATTTTAAAAATCTTATCTGAAATACCTGAGTACACACATAAAAAGTGGGAATTTCTTACAATTGCATCTAGGAATATTATTTCATTGCAAAACATTATTTTAAATTAAATTATTCATTACACATTAAAATGATACTTATTCATCCACAACTGTGCAAACGTTTTAAGGTCGTAATACAGCGTTATGAATACAATTCAATTAACAATATATCAAAAGATCTATGTGTAAGCAACACGCACCTGTTAAATCAGATATAATATTATAGAATATAAAAGCGTCATTCCAATGAAAGTCAGAAACTAATGTAAAAACCACAGTATTATAACACAACACGAAATCGAACATAGCTATTACAATGAAGCCTTAGAAATCGATTAACATTATATAGTTATGTCATAGAAATTCAGTAAGATAGCATTTTTTAAAATTCAATCCCTAAGGTAATTAAATAAGGATTTGACAGTAATGTAAACTATGTGGCCGAAAAAGTATTTAGATATTTAGCCTCCTTCGCGTATACAAAAGATATGAAATAAATATGGAAATATCAATTTTACATTCACATCAATTTTACATTCACAGTTCTTTCTCAGAGTGCCAGGGACAAAGTGGATTTTTTAAGGATTTTTCATTAAGAATATTTTTTAGTATAGCATTGTGAATAGAAAATTAATAAAATATAATAATTAGCAAAGGTGCCGACTATTAATCACGTGATATTTTTTCAACATTTTTAACCCTCCCTCTTGGTCATACATGGTGAGGTTTAAGACTTCCCTTCCCCCTCCACCCAAATCACAGGTATTTTAGCACCTACATAAATTCTAATTTTTGAAGTCGATTTTCGGTTAAGTAATCGCGTGTTTGAGGAATAAATTAATACACGTAATATATTATTACTACACCCCCCTCCCCCTTGTGATATTTTGTTATTTTTAACGAATCACTTAAATAATGGATGAAATATTTCTTAAAGCTGGTATCTTTAGGCAGGCAATCTGAACATTGATGAAAATACGCTCTGTACGCGTGTAACGAAAAAGTAACAAGTGCTTGAAAAATTCGTCAGTCCTCTTAGGTCCTGGGTAGCTCAGTCGTTAGAGCATTCGCCCGGGTTGCGAAAGGTCATAGATTCGACTCCTATATCAAAGTGCCAGGGACAAAGTGGATTTTTAAGCATTTTTCATTAAGAATGTCTTTCTTTTGTTTCAGTGTCTCGTCACTCTAATAGTACTGTTGACCAACAACGTGGAATCGCTGATAGTGTACGTGACCGCGGTGGAAACCCTATTCACCTTCTGTTCGGTGGCTGGTCTTCTCTGGATGCGATACAAACGACCTTCGCTCATGCGACCTATCCGTGTTAACTTACTTCTACCCATCGCCTTTCTAATAATATGCACATTCCTTGTAGTCTTCTCCTGCTTTAAACATCCCCAAGAAGTAGGCATAGGTTTAGCTTTCACAGCTCTAGGGGTCCCCATATATTTTGTCTTCATTAAATGGCAAAATAAACCTGAATGGCTCGAATCAGCGTGCAACTCCTTCAATATGGCGTGTTCCAAACTATTCCTATGTTTGCCAGAAAATTCCAAGGATTTATGATCTCTCTAATCGCAGAGTTAAATTAACTGAGATTCAGTGTGATTCTATTCATTTTATATTTTACTTACGATTAAGTATAAGTTATTTATGGATAAGTACAATGTTAATTTATTATTTTGCGCTGTGCATAAATTTATCTCGAAATATTGATGATCTGTTTAAATTAAATCGACGTTATGATTCCTATGCATTTTAAGTTTGTATACATTTAATTGTGACAATAAATAAATTTCTTTAAATAATAGTGTTGGTTTATAAGTAAATCAGTCTCTGATAAATATTTCTAATGATATCGACTGGGTAAAAAAAAAAAAAATATTCCGTCAGTCAAATAATAGAAAAATATTAGATACGTATTTTTTTTTAATTTAATTAAACAAGAAATGGTTTAGATAACATGCATTAAAGTTGAGGAGTGGGGCTCGCTACGTCACAGTATTGTAGAAAATGTACAAAAGCGTAACGTCACGTGACAATTCAACTAAACGTAGCGCCGTAATTTAATGATTACGAAAAAATTAAGACAAAATCATGTTTAATATTTTTCAACAATCTAATTGACGGACAAACAAGCAAAAGATATTCATCATTCTTATTGAAACAGATTATAAGTATGTGTATAATCGACATTATAATAATCTTGTTTAGTTAATCACATTAGATAACTGTGCAGATAAAAAGAACAAATCGAATGAACTCGTATCTAGAACCATATGCATTTTGTAGATGGAATAAATGCCATGTTTAAATTTTTTTCTACGTTTGCTTACTGGTGGAATGCATGTGGAATGCGTAAGTAGGGTTAACAATATAATATTGTAAAGAGGAGATATTTCGTTGTTTGTACGTTTACATTGTTATGTATTGTAAACAAAATACGTTTCTTTTAATTCGGCACTTCTGGACAGATTTTAAAATTGTTTCACTCAAGAGAAGCAACATCATATGCTGCTTCTCTTGAGTGAGAAGCAACATAATCGTGGGGAAACGATGTTCAACCAAATAAATCCTTTAAATATACATAGTGCCCTGCACCCCCCCCTCCCTCCTCTGGGACACGAGAGAATGCCGAGCTAGCCCCCCTGTCGGACCAATATCCATTCCGGTTCTAAATCCCCGTAGAGATTTTATAACGGACGCCCTTTTACCGGTGATTTTTATTATTTGAATTAGTAAATTACGGTCTATTTTAAGGTAATAGGACGAACCATGCTGATGCTCCCTAATCTAGAACCGTAGTATCTGTGCTAAAACGTAACGATTTAAATATTTAATAAAAAGTAAAAAAGGTAAGCTGCACTAGCAGAATACACATACTTACTTGCTTTAAATCGTAAGTAGAAAATCATTATGAAAACCCACTGGGGTTGTGAGCCAGTCAGTGAAGAAAGCAGTGGGGTTAAATTTATGGGTTTAAAAGTGAAAAATCAATAAAGAAATATAAACCTCCGTAGCTGAGTGATTCTCACACTGCTTTCAGTGTTGCCATCTCTGAAGTCTCGGGTTCGATTTCCGATCGGGTCAATGTATGAAATGAACTTTTCTCTATTGTTTTGGGGTCTGGATGTTGTGTTATCCACGTTATCTCAGATACTCTATAATACAGGGGCTTTAGCTACTCATCTTAGTAGAATCTGAGCAATGTATGTGATGTTGTCTAATATTTATTAATTACTAGCTTTTACCCGCGACTTCGCCCGCGTGGTATAGTTACTTTATTTTTTTACTTTAGTAATTTAATGTTAATTTTATTATATGTCACAAATTATAATCACTATCAATCGTTACTAGAAAACGATATAAATCCATCATCACCAGAATTTCAATATAAATATTAACTTTTTAATCATATTTAGAACTTAAGTTTGCAAACTCCTCAACAAAATAAAAGTCAGTTATCGGCAATCTAAAGATGTAACGTTGGAAATTGTATTTATATATTGCCGAATATTGTTTTTAAGCACAACTAACATCATCAATCCCACTGCTGGGACGGTTCCCTGTGGATAGAATCGAGTAGTGTCGAATAGGGAGAATGGACTGTGACCCACCACTGGGCCCTGTGCGGATTGGTGGTTGTTAACGACTGCAGATGAAAATGTGACCAATAGCACATTACATGCCTTCCGAGGTACGGTCAAACAAGCAAGTGACCCGTTCTGTGACCGGCACCAATCGCTCTACGCCACTGCTACTTCACGACAACGGTAGACCACACACTGCACAATAGACGGCTACCAAATTAGAAGAGCTTCAATGTGGAATGTCTAAGACATCCACTGTACTCCCCGGACCTTGCTCCAACAGACTACCATTTTTTCGAAATTTGGATAACTTCTTGCAGGGGAAAAAATTCAACTCCGATGGGGCAGTGCAAATCGCTTTCAAACATTTTATTGTTTCCCGTCCGAATGGTTTTTTTTAATAAGGGGATCAATGAACTACCTATGATATGGCAAAAGTGCATTAATAACAATGGTTTATACTTTAATTAAAGAAATATATGAACTATATGACTTTTTTCCCATACCAAACACTAATTTCATATGTAAGGACCTATACTCCATTCATTATAACATTAGAAAAAAGAGGGTCATAGAAGCAGCAGTGCAGAACATTTTATTTTCAAGATGAATTTAAAAAATATATATTATAGTTTTGTTGAAACTTTGAACGTTAGGTAGTCTGAAAGAGCTGGGCAATTTTCCATTTTTAACGATACCTCGGGGTTGAGATGCGGCCTGCATTTTCTAAATTCATCTTTCACTCTCAAGCCAACATGGAACTAAAACTATCTATCTGTTGTTTTGATAAATTCTAATTGTAAGTGCATATAATTAGCATAGAATTTAGTTATATCTATGCCCAGGAAAGAAAGGTAAATAAAATGAATTTGTTATTATAACATTTATTCAGACATTAGTTAGACTATAGATGAAGATATTAGAAAAACTTCCTGAAATGTCAAAGGCTCAAGGTAGGTATGGGGGATAAAGCTTAATTGCTATAGGCCACTCGGGCCTGCACCGGCATCGTCGTTATTTAACAAAACTTAACAACAAAAACAAAACTATAACAAAATAAAAATAAAACAATAACAACTTAATCACGGAAAACGGCAAAACAACAAGAAAGGCAGTAGCATTCACAACGGATGACAATCCCAGATTACGTATTTTAACAATTATGAATACATTATAGTCTAACAATATTAAAAAAACTGTACTGCCGAAACGTTTGAAATTTGGTATTGTGACATGTGAATCGTGCCGAAACTATCCAACCCTGCTTCTTTAGGTTCTTTAAGATGCACACTTTTTATTGTAATAGTTATTAAATCATTTAAGTTGCTCAAATACTCATAAATTTGTTTAATAGATAGCTTAAATGAGAACAGTTAAATATAGCAGTTGGTATTTAAGTGGATATGTAGCAAATTAGCCGTCAGTCTTAAGAGTAACACGATTTTTGATATTGTATCACAAAGTATACCATAAAAAGAACCTTATTTAACTTCTGTCTAATGATATAATGAATGGAGTATAATATATACGCTCCAAGGTATAAGCAGCTAATTGCCATCTTGTAACAGTAGGAAGTGCCTTATAAGATTTATCTTGCTATAGATAATAGATCCATTGTTAAGTTATTAAATAGTAGAACAGAGCAACGTAAATTCTACTACGGCTCTTCTTACATCTCATGTACTTCTATGCTCATCTAAATCTTTGTCCTTCACATTTCTAATTAAAAAAAAAAAACACCAAGTGCGTGATGGACTCGCGCTCAAAGGGGTATTATTGTACATAAAAGAATCACGTTTGTTGTTTTCTATGAAGTTGATTGAAATTTTCGTTTTAAATACAATTGGTCCACTATTACTCGTAAACTTATAAACCAACTTAAGTATGTTAATTTTCCTTTTAATTTCATTATATACCGTTTAGTTGGTAAAGGGAAGGTACACTTGGCTCTAACGAAATTTAGCTCTTTAAAGCTTAATGAGTCACAAACTGTTTACTTAATCGAAAAATGTCATTCCCACACCCTGAATGTTTTTGAAAGACCCGTCCAACGACGTTCCACACTTTTGGGTAGTCGGAAAAATATCATTCCACTTTACATGTAGGGGAGGTACTCTAAAAAAATATTTTTTGAAATTTTACTTTATTACATTGTCGGCATAATTAACATATACACTGATGCCAAATTATAAATTTCTAGCAAGTTTTGGAGCAAAACTGCGGATGGACAGTTGCATAGACGGATATAGAGAACTTTTTATGGTTCCTTGTTTACTACAGAATCCTAAACACCAGGATATTACGACTATAATACTACAATATCTCAAATTAAGTAGATATTTAAGTAATACTGCAGGCTCGGATCTAGAAGAGGGCAAATAGGGGCAGCTGCCCCAGGCGCCAAAACCATCGTTATATAATACCTATTTACAGTTTTAAAAAAAGCTCTTCATATACATTTTAGGCTACAATGCAAATCACTGCAAGCGAAAAAGTAACAAGTGCTTGAAAAATTCGTCAGTCCTGTGTAGATCAATGGTTAGAGCAGTCGCCTGGATTGCGAAAGGTCTTGGGTTCGAATCTCATTCCAGAGTACCAGGGACAAAGTTGAGTTTTTAATCATTTTTATCTTTGTCGAAAGTTTAAAACTATTTCTTTCAGCTGTTTGGGTGTATTGCATGAACATTGATGAAAACACGCTCTGTAGTAGTGAAAAAGTAACAGGTGCTTGTAAAATTCGTTAGTCCTGTTAGGTCCTGGGCATCTCAATGGTTTTAGAGCAGCAGCCGCATTTCGAAAGTTCATAGATTTGAAGCCCATTTCAGAGTACCAGGGCAAAGTGTACGTTAAGCATTTTTAGTAATTATCCATATCGTTTTGTATTAGTTTTATGTACGACGTGCTATATATTGTTCGGTTAGTGTATATTGTTTTGATTCCACTAGCATATACTCACTAAATAACTCAGGAAATAGGTGTCTAAACTAAATTGCAAAAAAAATAGGCGTGCATACCATTATTCGCAGAAACCAAGCATGACACCAACATCACGGTCATGAGAGATTGGTTTTGTACTCAAAACGGTAGTCAGTGAAGCGTGAAGTGACCGCGTACAGTGGTGTCCGCACGTACATTATAAGTACTGAGATAAGATATTATACAACTACATCACACTATTATAACAACTCCATTGTATTTCGACCGAGGAAATTGCAAAATTCGGCTTCTGGAACGGTCACGGATGACATTTCAACTGATTCGTAATCATATTTCTTCTTAGTGGGAGTAATAATAATAATAATCCTCTAATAACTTGACTAGGGCCTGTTATGATAGGAAATTGACCCAGCTTCAAGCTGAAAAATAAGCGGCAATAATAATAATAACTAACTTGACCAAGCCTGTACTCGGCTTTCACTACCAACATTTGCTGAGATAAAAGATAATATTATACTTTATTTAACCATAAAGTAGTACATATATAAAGCATATCCACCAATAGTAAACAACAGATTTAATATCAAAACTTTCTTCGTATACCTTCGTATATACGTCGTATATTTGCGGTTTGGATCATTATTTTTTGGTATACTCGTACTTAGGTACTTATAAATATATGTAAACACTAATTTTACACCTTATTTAGCGAAGATATAATTTATTTAGAAAGATATTATCTTTAGAAAGATATAATTACCAACTTACTAATGCAATCAAATGTGTGTAAATAAA